ACGACATGTTTCATATGATACTTGGATATCGCAAACACACGGTCAGATTTGTTTTTGAACTGGTTCTCAACAGCTATGTCATCCTCCAGCGGAAGACGAGGATTGTGGGGCCATTCAAATGATGATTCGTCTCCAGTTTTTCCCATAGTGGTCATGTGGGCAGGTGGATAATAAACATTCTCAACTGGAATGTGTTTTTCAGTTTTGTTGATTGCACCCGCCTCGTCACGACCATCGTCTTCGAATAAGGTAGTGAACAAATCATCAGCTTGTGACTCAGTCTCTTCTTCTTCGTCATCTTCGACAACAACTTTGTTGGGAATTATAGAGATGGGCTCAGCCTCAGTGGGATTGGTCACTTGTGAGATTTGAGATTGTTGGCAAAGTTGAAATTTTATGTATAAATCTATCGCATGTAACCCAGATAATTCATGATTGTAAAACATCGTTTCCACATCATCATCATCTCGGATTTTAAATGGAACATATTTCACTTGGTTCACACCAAAATTAATAGCATTTCGATATATAATTTGTGAGACAGCTCCAGATTGCATCCTTGTTTGTATCCTCTCTCTCAAATATTCGAACTTCGTATTTCTACTTAATTTGAACCGACATATATCGATATTTTTGAATATAATGCCCATATCATCAGAGACAAGGATCTCTCCATTGTAATGAGCATCCACTACATATTGAGGTGTTTGAGACATGATGATTTCTTTGTGAACAAATATTTTGAAATGAGTTGAATTGATGAAAAATTGTAGGAACAAGAGCTGCATTTAAATGATACATATTTTGTCTTTTGTAAACATATAATAATATTTATTCGTAGGAAAATTGACTGGTCAATGGTCAAACTGACAAAAGCAACACATCCGCCCATTGCAGATGCGGAAGCATTTATGTGTGTAAAGGCTCCGCCCAATGAGAAGGCGGAAGCATTTATGTGGGTATGGGCTCCGCCCAATGCACCTGCGTCGTTGGCAGGTCAAATAACACTCTTCTGCCCATTGTTTACGCGGATGGAAGACTAAAAAGCAACGCATCCGCCCAAAGCATCAGCGGCGTGTCAGAAAAAGACAATGGTTCCGCCCATTGAGGGTGCAGATTCTGTAAAGTTGTGCATGCAACACAGTCTACGTACAAAGCATGCATGGCAAATTTATTTCTCCCAACCATTTACTTGTTTCCATTATATATTTTGCATAAAACCATTCATTTTTTCTCTATAAATACTATTCATTTTTTCATAATTTACATCAAACTCAATCTTTATCCGCTCTTTCTCATCATAATTCTACACCAAACTCAATTTTCCATAATGTCTCTATTAACTTATGGAGAGGATCATCGAGGAACATTGTCAAACATACTTCAATATGTAAGTATTGAATATATTTACTTATAAAGTTTTTTTAAATTTTTAGAATATACTTCTGACATTAACCATCTTCTAATATTAACTATTTTCTTTTTTAGAAAGAGAAAAAGTTTAGGCCTCGTACACACTCGTATGTGCCCGTAGACAAAATGATCTGTGAATATCTGATGCAAGCGGGTTTTGGGCACGTTATCGATATAACGTCATATGGTGTTGATAGAAAATTTATTCTCGCTTTATGTGAAAGATGGCGGCCAGAAACACACACATTCCATCTTCCTACCGGTGAATCCATAATCACCCTTGAAGATGTCCATATGTTGATGGGTTTACGTGTAAACGGTGTGGCAGTGAATGGGAGAACAAATGTCGACTACTCCATAACTCAAGAACTCTTGGGTGAAGAATTGCCCAAAAGAGCTAGAAAGAGTCAATTCATCAAAATTACTTGGCTCTGGGACAAATATGATGCATTTGACTTGAACAAAGATTCCACCATCGAACAAATTCATAAGAAAACTAGAATTTATATTTTATTGCTTTTCGCTAGTTTATTATTTCCTGACACTAATGGTAACACAATACATCTTATGTATTTACCATTATTAGCTTACTTTAATAAAATAGGTAGATACAGCTGGAGATCTGCAGTTTTATCGCATCTATACAGAAACCTCTGTAGATGCGCTAGAAAAGATGTTCATAATTTTGCTGGTTGTTCAACACTACTACAAGCTTGGGGATGGTCCAGGATGCCAAATCTAGCGCCTAGGAATCGTAATCCTTTTCACTTTCCATACGCAACCAAGTAAGTTGAAACGACTCCTTTGTCTTAAACTTATTTACTATGTGAACAATATTTAAGTATTATTTATTTTTAGATGGTCTGTCTATGGAATGGATTACGAAAAGACTCATCATCACTGTGCACCTGGCTATTGAACTTTCATCGATCATTTCGAAGAAGCTGATGTAATATTCTTAACCATAGATTACTAATAATTACTATTATTTTATATAGTTCGTTAAACTAATAAATGATTTTTTAACAGTTTACATGGAGGCCCTATCTAGGACTTGATGATACTTATCCGACTGATAGTCACGTGTGGAGTGCAAAAACATTTATCATTTGTTTTACTACAGTTGAATGCATCATTCTGATCGGATAAAACTCCAATTTAACATTATGCAAGGCATACCGGATGCTCCATAGTGCATGGAGGAGTATCATAAAAGTGTGGTGAATGACCAATGGGCATATAGCAATTGGAAAGATTATTACAAACAGGAGTGTCATTAATGACATAACCGCGAAGATAAAGTCTTACAAGGAGATGTCATGTCAGAAGAATGTAAACCGAGTAAGGAATACATGGAGTGGTATAAGTCTGTTACAAATTTGTATTTGTCACCAAACAACTTCTTATTTGACCCTACGTCCAACACACCAGACCATCATCAAGCACTTACACCCAACAACCATTCATGAGCAACTAAGAACCTTTCTTCCCAACACAACCATCTTTTACCCAACAACCTTTCTTCCCAACACAAACACCTTTTACCCCAAGCCAACAATACCATCAACAAAACCCTTCATCTAACCCCACCCAATGTGGCACCCAACAACAATATCCTTCATCTAACCCCACCCAATGGGGCACCCAACAACAATACTCACATCTTACCCAATCAACATCGACCAGTCTACCACAAACATCATTAACACTACAAACCCCACATGATCCCAACTATCAGACACCCCAACAACAAATGCCTATTTCTCGGCCACAACAATTTACCTCCCAAGATTGTTATCAACCCTTAATAAATAGCCCAATGTCTTCTAATCTCATACCAAATTGGAATTGGGAGGGAACCAGATTAAGTTATGGCAGTGCAGCCGAGACAAACTATATCAATGAGGATATGATTGAGGAATTTTTAATGGGCAGGTGTGATGCGGGACCTTCAACTCAACCACAAAATGAAGAAGGAAATCGCAGAGCACGTCAACGTACAAGACGAACACCTGCTTGTGAAACTCACTAACGATTGACACGACCCGGTCAAAATCGACAGTAGATGTATCTTCTCTATTGAATCTTTGTTTAATTATAATGGAATTATATAATTTAAAAATGAAAAAAAATTAATTCAAGTAAATTAGTGAAATTTTTATTTAATTATATATATTTTGTTTAATTATAGTGTATTTTGTTTAATTATAATATATTTTATTTAATTATAGCAACTTAATTTTTTTTTAAAAATACAGTAATACTCTTTCGCCCATCCAATAGACGGATCTTCTCAATTTTTAAAGCTTACGCCCAGTGCTTCAGCGGATTGAAAAAAATTCTCACTGCTCCGCCCATTCAATTGGCGGATGTGTTGTGGCAAAAAAAAAATTTATTTGAAAAGAGAGTAGATTGGAATTATTGAGTGAAGAGGATAGTATATTGAAATTTAATGTGTAAAAAAAGTGTAAGGCAGAAAAAAAATTCGCCATTGTTTTGTCTATAAATGGCACAACAGTATGAGTGACCATTGAAGTGATGTAGGAATTTTCATAAAAAAGGGTATTTTCAAAAGGCTTGGAAATATCATTATTGAGTCCACAATAATAGAAGAAAATTCCATTGATGAAAAGTCTGCTACCGTAAAGAAAAAGCTGTCGATTTCAGAGAAACAACAAATGACATGCAAGTAAAGTGGCTAATGAGAACATTTAGCCAACTACGAAATTACTAGTACATTGAGAAAAAAATGAAATTTACAAATAAATAAAAAGTACTAATAAATGTTTCACATACAATTTTTTCATATTAATTTGTGCTTGTTATGTTTGCTTTTTTGTTTTCTTTTCATAGGGATGTAAATCAAGTATTTTCAAATATTATTCCAATTTACACAAACGTACCAGCCAGGCTAGTTCCAGTGTTCTCTTTGGAGTATTTGGCAGTTAACTTCCTTCATACTCCAATTCAAATACTCTCAAATATATATAACGAAAATGGTTATGGTTAGCAGGTTAGAAAGGTGGCGGTCAGGCCACGCTGTATCAGGGTTCGAGTTTGTTAGTGTACGTAGCAAAATATGTTATTTTGACCTCAAGATTGATTTGAAAATAAAAATTACAGTTCATAAATAAAATAACTGTTACATTATTCAATAACAAAAGGATTTGCAAATTGAACATGATCATTGACACATTTCACCGAATTGATTTGCAAATTGAACATGATCGTTGAAACATTACTCTATGAAGTGCTTATTTGAATAAATAGATCAACTCTTAATGCTGGGTATCTCATACCAACCCACAAATGAATTGTATTTTGAATGGATAAACCTACTGTATACAAAAGTTTTACCGAATTGAAATTACTCATAAAGTGAAGTAAAACATCTCTGGTTTCCTAATAGACTGCGTGATTGGTATCACATATTTGCAACCGAAGTCTTGTAAAAGTTACACTCTAGAGTTTTTGCAAAATAACAATGACTCACTGTGATTGTGTCAGACTCACCGTGAATTCAAACATGCACAAAGTCTAATGTAGAACCACTCACATTGCACTTTCATCCCATGACATTATGCTTGCTAATGCTTTCTATTAGAAGGCTTCGAGCGAACTTTCAGGTGTGCATTCCATTGCAATAGCATCCATACTATTGATGTTCCTATTAGTAACATGAGATTAGGTTAGATATTAAAATGTGTTGGATCAATGAGTAAAATTGATAAAAATCATGTTAGGAGGTAAAAGCTCCTATTCCCAGCTTCAAATTGGCGCTAAGTCTACAAGTTCTACAAGGCCTGGCCTACAAACAAACTGGGCATACTACTACACAAGAATAACTTTCATCATACCTGCAAATATGCCGACAGTAGTGAGATTCGAAATTGCCATTGTTTGATAAATTAGGTATTCGGTCAAGAAATGACCAAACGCATAGACAAATGACAATAAAGTAGCAAGGTAAATAGGTTTATTATCAAGGTTGAATGCACAAATATAGCAGAGGGTGCAGGTCAACAGTGTCCACGTTCCAAATGTGCGTCCATGAACTTCAGTCACTGCAACAATTATAAACTAACTCTAATCAGTTCCCATAATTCTGCAGTGCATATTAGAATAATGTTTGAAATTATACTCTAGCTTGAAAGCTCATAATAGATATGCCAAAACAACTTTGCAAAACCATTGTGAATTTGTTACTGTGTTCTTGCAATATCGTTGAATTTTTTTAAAGGAAAAAATAGTATTCTCATCACAGAATGATGATATGAGGTAAAATCATTGCCATATGTCTCAAGTTTTGGTGTGGCCGAAAAGGACAATGGTAATTCTTGATTTTATTCTATTATCAACAGTTTAGTCGATTTTGACGTGGCTTGATTTTACACTATTATCCATAGGATTACTTGTAACAAAAACCCAAACATGGATTCCTAGCAGTTAGGAAAAACATAGTCAGCATGTCAGGAGCTATAAATGAACTTGCAGTAATGGTGTTGTAAGTAATATGGATAACGCCAACCATTGTTTATAATTTAAAAAAAAATTGATCAAGACCTAATAATGTAAACATTTATCCAGAAGATTAGCTGAGTCAAACAAGGAGCAGATTCATTGATTCTCCTAATAATCTAAAAGTTGTTAAATTAAAAATAAAATAGCAGACAATTGAAGTCAAACCTAAAAACTAGTATAAAGATTCATCGATTGGCATCTAGAAGATTACACAATATAGAAATAGTAGTAGTAATTTAGAGTGCATTGGGATCTATGAGATCTCATATTCTCATACATTGGATTTAGTAACGTGTATCAATTGTGTCGCTCATTGCAATAACTCTAGATGCTGAAACAAGAAGCAACAGTATCTACCATAACAATTTGAAGTAAAAAGAGAGAGAGAAGTTAGATGCATACTGGTAGTAGTAGAGAAGACGGCGAGTCGAAGTGCCCAAATGTCGAAGAAACCGAACCACACGGAGGCTAATCTCAGCGTCCCAACCACAATCAACCACCATCCTAACGCCTTCATTTTTTTTCCTGCTCACTCTTTTCCCCAAATGTATTGCGCTCTTGTGTTGTGGGGGTTTACTTCTTAAATTAAACAAAATTGCCAAATTATAGATTTCCATCATTAATATCTTTGGATCGCTGGAGTATAATAGAAATTGAGAATAAAGATAATTAGTTTTACGCTCTCATTCGTGATTTAGTGGAATACATATTGTGATTAGTTAATAATATAAAAATATTTTTTATATTGTTAGTGCATACTCTTTTTTTTTTTCTCATATAAGTTATATAATACAATGGAATGAAATAAAATAGAATAGAGCAAAATGAAAATATAGATTTATTTTATTGTTTAGATATTTTATTAAAAATATGTCATTTTATTATATGCACTCCTAATCAATGGAACAAAAAACAAATGATTGAATGAAATGAGATGGAATAGATTTTATTTTACAAGGGAACTTGAAAAGATCAAAAAATTGAGGTTTTGAATTGTAATGATGGACTTGGATTTTTGGTACGATGAGAGGTGGATTAACCTACAACATTAGCACTGCAACACTTAAGTTAGTATGAGACTAAGATGACTAAATGAAGTTTGAATTTGAATTATACCTGAAAATGATGCGCTTCATCCTTATATAGTAGAGAGGTTATAATACCTTGCTGATCTTTAGGCATGAAATGTGTGAATTTGTTAGATGGACCCAAGTTATAGATTTCATGCCCTCTAATCCAAGATAGGTTACTTGTTCTATGAGTGATATTATGGATCACAATATTCTCTGAATCTGGCCATTGGGCCTTTTGACCACCTCATAACAGTTTATCTCCAAGTCCTTGACCTTGCTCTATCTATTAAACGCTTTGTTGTGTTTGTCTTTCTTGTCGGTCGTAGCCCGACTTAAGTAGGAAGTCAAGGAAAACTAGAGTACTTAGTATTTTTCTGAGGCAATACGAACTGTTGATAGTGGTTATCATCTTTCTTTCAGTGAGACATTTGTGATCTTTGTGGAATCAGTTATATAGTTTCTTAGGGTGTTACCTTTGTTCTTCTTGTTATCTACATTTTTTTCAACATATTATTTTCTTAACTAATGGAAGTGGTGTCCACCATGCGTTAAAAATCAAAAGAATGGGCATCTTCCTCCTAGACAGATCTCGCAATTTCAACAATTGTTTCTATCTTTTCCCGCGAAGGTAGTTTCAAAAGGTTTTTTCTCAATGTGGGTCCTTCTTACGATTGGGCGCATTAATCCCTGATGAAGATAAACAGATTTCTAGTGAGTATGGCGAGTGCGTTATTCCTTTCTATGAGTGCGCTTTTTCAATTCTACGTCTTTGCATGGCCATTAAGAGTTTCGAAATAAAGGTTTTGAATCATCTAATGATTGTCCCCCGCAGTTGAACATGGTGCTTTAGGGGCTATATCAAAATCTTTTAGCACTAGTGTGACTATCAGAGAGGAAATCCATCGTTATTTCAAAGCGTATTCTGATTGTGTGAAGCATTTTAAAGACCCATTCTTTTTGGTTAATCCACTCAACGAGAAAGCTCATGAGCAGACATGTGCCATAGGAACTAGAACGGAAAACCAATATACGTGTTTGTTTTATAAGTATTGAAACCAAGGCCACTTTTCGATGAGGAATAGATCATACGTCTACAAGGAAAGTGACATGTCCCAAGAGGAATTTTACCTGAAGAAACACTTAATCACGTTCTTCAAAGAGTTGGTTTAATTCAAGGGAATTATCCCTCGGGATGAAGCCTTAAAGACACTGTGATACGGTGGGAGAACTGACTTGGGGTTTAGCGTTTGTGTTCGCAAATGTTTCGGTTTAGCAAGAGTCGCCACCGACTTTTTATTTTATCCTAAGGAAAGGTTAAAAAGCACAGGAAAGACCTTTGAGATGTTTTCTTGGGTTCTGGGAGTAGATTATGAAAAGGGAAGGTGCAAGCACCCTTTTCATCCATGGTTATCCATGGGCTCTTAGTTACTTGTTTAGATCACTTGCTTTGCTTTTCAATTGTTTGAAATGGTGCTCTTCAATTGTTTGAAATGGTGCTTTGTGTGTGGTTTTGAAAGATGTTTTGAAAAGAGACCATCGTTGTGGCAACCTTTGTAATGATTCTTGTTTGAATGTATACAAAGATGTTTTTGTCTTTTTGAAAAGTTTTCAATGTTTGAAAGTTGGATTTTGAAATTGTGTTGTGAAGTGTGTTTGAAAATAGCAAGGATGTTTTGCAAGCTTTTGATCAAGTAACTAAGAGCTATCTACCCTATTTTACTCAAAGATCTTTCTTATGTTTTTAACCCTTTTAACAGTGTTGTTTTACCATTGTATTTGGTGAACAACCTTGTGTTAGAATGTTAAACGGGACAGGCGCGGGTCATCGTATAGACCATGATAGCAATTGTGTCAAGTATCTTTGGCAATTTTCTTGAGGGACTTGATCATTTTGTTTAGGCAACTCAGATAGCGTCATCGAGGGACTATGATCTTTTGTTTTATTTTTATTTTGCCAAAGTACTCAACATGCATACCATGGCCCATTTTTGAAGGCAACAAGTGGATTGTAACCCTATGGGTGCAAGTGTGCATTGTGTTTGTTTTTTCATGCACTTTTGTCTTTGATTAGGTCAAACTATTTGTTAATTTGATTTTGGCATACAAACCCTAATTCTCTAATCATGGCATAATTGAAAGCGTAAAAGTGCGAGAATTTAAATTCTAGGCTATTACAACATGATTATGGGGATGGGGGTACAATCCTTGAATGGGGGAGGGTATTTGACAAGAAATATAAACCCTAGTTACTATTACATCCAAATTGAATTTCAAATGCAACAATATTTAAATGTACAATATTTAAATAAACAAAATAAATAAATATTGAATAAAATGTATTATGCAAAAAGAAATTTTTATTTGTTCATGTATGTAAAGTATTTTCAATGTAAAAAAAGTATAAAGAAATAAAATAAAAAGATTAATTTTATTCATTTTAGGGTAAACCCTAATTTCTTTTAAGAAAATAAATATTATATATTATTTATATACAAAAATATATTAATATGTAAAAAATTGAAATATACTTAAAAAAAGTATTTTTTAGTATAAATAATAATAAAAATAAAAATGTAATATATGTATATATATATATATATATATATATATATATATAATATATATAATGTATATATATATATATATATATATATATATATATATATATATATATATATATATATATATATATATATATATATACTTAATATATATATATATGTATTAAATATATTAAGTATGTATAAAATAAAATAAAATATTTACAAAAATAAAATATATTCAAGAAAATATTTTCAGTGTGAATAAAAATAAAAAATAAAAATAAAAGTATTATTTACATTATTTTTAAATTTAAACAAATAATATAAAAGTATTAAAAATGTTTTAATGTTAGAAAGAATAGAATAAAATGCCAAATAAATGTAAAAAAATGTGAAAATATTTTTAAGCATTTTTTATATTTGGGAATAAATAAATAAAATCAGAAATGAAATTAAAATACAAAAATAACAAAATATAAAGAAAATGGGTCAGGGGGTGCAAAAAGAAAAAAATGGGTGTCAAAAGTGAGAACAAACAGGCCCAGCCCATTTCCACTTCATCTTCTTCCTTGTGACTGAAACACGCGCGCCCTGTATTCAAACTGCTAACTCTTGTATTTGTGATCTTTTGCCAAAACTCAAAACGTGAAACTTGTAGAACATTAAACCACGATTCTAACCATATAAAAAACTTAATCTAACTCTCAAAGACCAGAGAGAATTTCTCTGGCCCTAAAATATGACCTAGTTTTTTCAGCATGTTCATGGATGAAATTCTCTTAGCACGCTTAATATAAATGAAAACTGAGCATATGTACAGCTTCATGGCATTGAATACTATATTTTTCATTCACAAACCTAAGGCTAAATGTTCCTAAATAGAGAGATAGAAGTTTGAGAAATACCTGTTTCAGTCAAGCTCGAGTATGGAAATGCAACAACTTTCAGTGAGGCCTGAGGTTCTTTTGAGCTTGCTTGATGTTCCTTTGACCTTTCCCAATGCTTGACTTGCTTTGTAATGGTCTGAAACTTCTTGTAGAACTCAACCTGCAAACTCAGAATTTGAAAATGGTGAAGTGTGTAAATGGAGTTACAATGACTTGGTAATGGTTGGGATAGCTTAGGTATATTGTATGGAGTGTATTGGAACTGGTTTGGGACAAAACGTATGAGGCAATGTGAAGATGGCTTGAGTTCTGCAGGGCTTGCCCTGTTTTGGCAGAAAATGAGGTTTTTGGTGTACAAGGGTGTTTGAGAGGTGGTGAGCTCGTGTTTCTGGCTTAGTGTAATGTGAAAAACTTGTTTTGAATGTTGGCAAGAGTTGAATATATCAGATATGCAAGTTGTCTTGTATTTTACAAGTTTCTTGGTTTTGAAGTAAGAAATGAGAGTTGACAATGCTATGGTTGTACTGGCTTGTACTCTAGCTACTCAAAGTGGTTGAACTTTGCCTGACATTAGGGAGCCTTGTTTGCAGCAAAAGGCTTGGTGTATGGCTCAAGAAATAGAATTTGACATAAAGCATGCTTTATGTAAATGGTATTGCTCACTTTTTGCCAAAAATGGATTAAACTCTTGTGTAATCCTCTAATGATCAGAACAAAGCTTCAAACCATTGGATTTGCATTAAATTAAGGAGTGTGAATTGGTTTAGAGGCCTGCAAACAAGTACAAAGCATGCTGGTTTGAAAATGCAACTTGTATGAACATGTATTTGCCATGGATACAAAGTGAGTTTTTGCCAACTTCAAGCATTCGATTCTCCCTAACCACAAATATGTTTGAGGAGTTCTTGGACAATTTGGAAAGATTGCAACATGCTTTATAATCCATCTTTGAAATTCAACTTGAGACTCCAAGTGGAACTATGTGAAAAATGACCAAGAAGATGGGTCAAAATC